CCTGATAAGTCTCTTAATGCAGTTTTCTGAGAGTAAGGAATGCAATCAGCTCAGAGCAAACTTCTACATTCAGTCTGTTATAGTTTAGCACATCCTGCCTCCCCACATACATTTGATGTGAGCCAGAATGCAAAAACAGAGGTGTGGTGATTATAAGAATGTCTCTCCAAGGTATTATAAGGCATAAAGTACAGCCAGAAAACATTCAACGTATAATTATCTCAGTGTTTTGGCTTCCATATTATTTTATAAAATGTGTCTCAAGAAAAAATGAGGTACAATTTTTTTCTTTTTTTTTAAATACAGCGGTGATTCAGTGTTCAGTTGAGGATGTTAAAGCAAATGAAATTTTTAGCTTCTGCCAAAGATCAGTGCTCTCCTTCAAAGACCACCACCAAATGAAGTACCATCTTCATGTGAATATTTGCAACAGCATTGGAGTTATTAAAATCTTAAAACTATTTTGGATGGTTTCCCGTGAATGTCACACTCAACTTCAGTTAGCTAAAGATTCTGCTCTGAACTTTTTTGTTCTCCTTTCATTTTATTTTTGTCAATAATTATAAGCAAACAATGTGTTTTTTCTAAAACCTTAGAATAAAAAGGTAAACTGTAAGAAGTGTTCCTTCTGCAAAAACACCACATAGTGACTGCTCATACCCTTTTCACGGACCCAATAATAAATATCAGTGGGGAGTAAATGTTAATGAGAAGTGCTGTGAATTGATTGCCATGGCTGAAAAGGGTTTGACTTTGTGAATTACTAGGTCAAGGTTTATGTCCAGTGAGGTCAGAAGGGCCCAGATAATGGGCCTGTCTTGTCTTGAATTCCTGACTGAATCAATGGTATGATTGCCTTACTACCCAACTTAAAATATGCCTGTGAATGTACATTAATGGATAGCGAATACAAGATTTCATTTTTAATAGAATAAAAATTAAGAGTTGTAAAATAAATAATAAGCCAAGAATTGTAAAAAATAATTAGATTTGACATATTTGATGTCTAGATAATTCTGATTAGCAATGTGATACTTTATAAGCCACCTCTTCTTCCAGTCAGGACAATTTGGGGGTGAATTCTTGGATTCTTCTAATAAAAGAAGAATTTTATTATCTGAATTCTCCACAGAAAGTGCAATACTGCCTACTTTAGCTTATTTTAAAACTTTTTCAATTTATAAACACTAAAAATACTGAGGGGTCTTGTCTATTTCTGTCTTAGACTTCACTGAGAGAGGCTGTGCTTGCTCAAAGAGGATCTAGTCTGAATTTCACCTCTTATACTGTCATACCCATGCTATGAGCATCAGCTATTATGAACATTTTATATTCTAATCTGAATACTTCTACAGACGAAAATATTTGGGCATATCTACATATGTATTAAGTTGCCCCATGTCAAGGACTGTATGATGCCTATGAACATGAGAACTGCATAGACATAGGACCTTAAACATGTTTGTGACCACGCACTGACTGTCTCTCATGAAGGTGACTTCAGAACTGCATAGACATAGGATCTTAAACATGTTTGTGACCACACACTGACTGTCTCTGTCTGGCAATAATTCTTTTGAGTTCAGGCATTCATATCCTGGTGTGACTGTTTATCATAGCAAAATGTTATGCCAAATCAGGAAGTCAAAGCAGGGAGAGGATTGAAAGGTCATGGCCTAGCTTTGCAAAGCAGTATTTTGATGATCAACAGTCAGTGCTCAAGAAAGGATTAGGAGATTTGAATTGAGAAAGGCAATAATATGGAAAGTAAAAGCTTCCAAAGTAAGGGTGAGGGAGAGTGTAAAGTAAGGGGAGTGGGGGAAGTGGTAATGCTGTAGGAATATATCTAAGATAAATTTACTAAATGGTAGTATGACATAAATATTTATCTCTTTCTGTAACTAAAAGAACACATAAGCTTCAGTTTGTTGGGTTTTTTTTTACACCAAATGTGAATGTAAAGATGAACACTGATAAAAAATGAGTGTCGGAAAAACTGTATGAAAATCTCAGTTATCATATCTATGGTGGAAAGAAAACCAAGAAAGTCTGATTGTGCTAAAAATATGAGACCAGATGTTTTGCATTACAGATGTAAAAAACAAAACTGGCATGTGCCTATGTACAAGAAAGAAAATACAGGAAATGGATGCATAAAGCTGCTCAATCTTCCATCAGTATTTCACAAATCTGTAGGAAATGTTTTATCACTGTATCACTGTACTAGCATATTGTAGATCAGACAGTCCATAATCGAAAAGCTTTGAAATGAAAAGCAAAGTCATTTACTAAATAAGTGATACTTAACAATTTTTAAATAAGTGGAAAATAAGATAAGTTGCAGTGTATGGTTATGAAAGTCATTATTTTAATATGTTGAGTGAAATGACAGGTTTTCTAGTCAAAGGAGGTGATAAAGTGTTTAGCCTACATCTAAAATAGATAATAAATTGTTGAAAAGGAGAGGTGACAGTGAGTTGTGCTGAACTGGACTGGAAGAGTGTTTTAAAAAGTTCTTCAAGATGTGGTCTTGGGCTCAGATAAGAATTTCAGGGATGAGTACAGCACAATGGCCAAGACTACTTCTGAAATTTAGCTACAGAGAATCAAGAAATATTATTGATAATAAAGACAGAGATAACAGATAGGGCTTGGATTTATTTATTTTTAGACTATTTCTTAGGTGTTCTTTTGGACTTAAGGAATGGAAATGGAGTTGTACATTACACACTGTGAAGAAGCATAAGACTGTAATGTAACATGAGAAATTACAGTAAAGGAATCAGGACAACAAAGAATTGATTTTACAAAACAAAACTATATGGCTTCTTTAGTTTAGAAGTGTGGAAAGAAGAATATGATTTGCTGTACAAATATACGTAGGACTTATACATCTGTGTGGGGGAACGATCATCTAGCTAAAAGATAATAACACACAGGAAAAATGCTCATGTTATGTTTGATTAACACAAAAACTGGTATAAATGAGAGGTTCTAGAACAGCCCGCTACCATGCATAGCTAGGGGAAAGATGTTAAGAAGCTCACCGTATCATTGCTTCTATATGGAGACTGAACTTGAGGGGTTTTTACTTGTATGTTCCTAATTCTACTTACAACTTGTTGCCTTAGCTAGAAAAAAAAATGTATGTATGTATTTACTTACTGAATGTGGGTCACTACTACCACAACCCTTTCAGAAAGCATGACTTCATGTGGCAAAACCACTTTGGGAAAACGGCTGTAGTCACCTGCAACAAGGTGCTCAGACACCATCAGTATGCCTGCAATTCTTTCTGGGACTGTGGTTTGTTTTTTTTTCCTCACAGTCACCTGCTTTTTCCTAAATATTTACTACACTGGGTTTGTGACTTTTAGAATGGGCCACTGGCAATGATTCCAATGAATTGCAGCCACCTGGTGTGCTGCAATCATCTTTGGTGATGACAAAATGGGACATGCAAGACACATGGTCATGATTACACCAGAAGTCTTTGATCTGAACTGTGGAAAAAATTTCCTTCATTTCTCAATTTCCAATCAAACTGACAACATTCTTCCACTCTGAGTTAGTGGTGTGCTATTAGTTGGGTTCCAGTCACTCTCTCCAGTCACCCAAAACTGACTGCTGAGCCAAATATTTCCACACATTAAGAGAGTCCTTGATTGAAGTGGAATACTTAAGGTATAAAAAGTTATTATTATGGAGTTTCTTTTCCTATGTTGTAGTGACATAGTACAGAGTAAAAATAAAGCAATGCCCAAAAATAATACTTCTGTAATCCATCATGATGAAGGATAAATTAAGAAAACCTTACAGTTACTGTATTTCAGATCTCAAACCAGTTTGATTTTGTGTACTTCAAGTGGAAACAGAAGGATTTATTTACTTACAACCGTTCATACAGCCGGGTGCTAGACATGCCCAAGTCACGGTTGGGCATGATAGACAAGGTGGTGTTTCCTGTAGGTTTTTTCTTTCTTTTTGCTCAGTTTATTCTTTTTACCAGTTCTTTAAGCAAACCATTGTTACTTTTCCTGACTCCTCCAGCCATCTTTTTCTTTGCCTTTCCATTCTCTTTTCTTAACAGCATGGTGAACACTTTAATTTGACTTCTTGAAGAACCATAGGTTAATTCCCTTGTCTCCTCATCACCAATGGACAGTTGAGTTCACCCTCTAAACTCAGCTTTTTAATGGTGTAATTCACTTGGCTCACTGTAACTAGGAAAACTCACACCAGCTAATGATTTTGATTTTTCCCATAGCACAATAAAGACTCTCCCTCCATTCCAACCATAATCTAGGAAAAGTTTGCAACAAGGCAGGAAACTGCAGAAGAGATATTATTAACTATGGCAGATGCACAAGCACAAAATGACAGAATGGTTGAGGTTGGGAGGGACCTCTGGGGGGGTCGTAAGGTTCAGCCCCTATGCTCAAGCAGGCCGCCTACACTAGGTTGCCCAGGACCATGTCCAGATGGCTTTTGAATATCAGTCCTATCTGATTATAAATATAACTGGGTTGCAGAGGTTGCTGTTTACACCAGCCAGAAGGTATGAAAAGGTAGCAAGAAACAAAATCCTTGAAAATGGTCATTACCTTGTTGGAGGTCTTCAGATTAATGTGTGAAATAAACTGTCTTAGGAAGTAAAGAGTTAACACTGAAGTACTCATAGAAGATATTTAGATAGATTTATGTTGAATTAGAGGTGGTCTTCATTCAGAAGTCATTTGCAGTTTAGTCTTCCTGAACGTGTGTACATATATATGTTTGTATATGCATCTATAGAGGGCTCAGATTTTCCTGTTTAAATTTAGTTTGCAAACAGTAGCAGGAAGTTTGACCGCAGTCAATAATCAACTCAAAGCAATGGTTCTCATTACATACTATGAAAAAAATTAATATACAGTAGCTATGACAGATGCAAACAAAATGTGTTCCATATTATGAAAAGACTGTGTGGATGTGGGTGTACAATTATATATGTATGTTACCTTCTCCTTCTGGGACTTGGCACTTGGACTGCAATCCAGGTGTTGCATACAATGTTCCATGAAGTTCTTCTGTTCCTGTATATTAATGTATTCAAAATAGCAGATATCAGTTTAAAACCTGGTCCAAAACTATGTTTATAGCACAAAAGGAAGTATTAGTTCTTGGGAAATAAAGAGGGTTTATATTCATATATTCACAAGTGTATATGTATATGCGCATTCTCATACTTAGGCACACTCACACACAGGTATTCACAGAATGACACAATATTATAGGTTGAAACAGACATTTGAGGTAATCTTGTCCAATCACCCTGTTCAAGACGGATCAGCTAAAGCAGCTTGTCCACAGCCACTTCCAGTCAGGCCCCAACATTATCTCTGAGGTACACCATTAACAACTGGCCTCAAACTGGAGGAGATCTGAATGTTTCTTTTGTCTAGTTCTACTTGATAAGTCTAAAGAACAGGTAATTTATAACCCCTGCAAAGTTAGTATTTCTCTTCTATGCAGTTACTTATCAGTGCTGTTTTTGTATTGTTATCTGATCACAGCATCATGACAATCATCATGACAAGAGTGATAATCATCCCGCAGTCATAGTGGCTTTCCAGTCCTTTTCCACATATCCCTAAATTGATAAGACAGAATAAGGTTAGAAAATGAGGGACAGCGCAATTTGGAAAGATTGAGCTTAAGCTATTGCAGAAGTTTGGAAGGCCTGAACACCCTGGGAACCAAAGTCAGCTGGACTGGAGGGGTTTATGTTCAGGAAACATGTCAGTGGTCACAGAAACATCCAGTGCTTAGAGGTTCCTTAAACTCAAGATCTTTTCTCAATATGTGGAATCACTATGGAAATCCAAACACAGCTGCCTGGTGAGTGACCAGAAAGAGAGAACTTTAATTTTATCTTTGACAGTTTGGATACTTTTATCAAACAAAAAGAGGGGCTGCTGTGCTATGCAGTTCTTATAGTGTTCTTTCTTGAAATTATAAAGAAATATCATTATGAATTATTTCAAAAAGACGGTTTTGGAAAACAAAACAAAACAAGCTTGCTTGCTTGTTTGTTTGCTTGTTCCCTTACTCCCTGACATCCTTATTAGATGGTGATGAGAGTAAAATTAACAATGTTAGATAATAACTTATTATCTATTATTTGATTTATAATCACTAATAAATAGTTTTGCAGATACCATATTATATAGTGTATTTTTTTTTCTTTAATGTAACATTTCTTAGCAACAGTAATTTTTTGCCAAGGTATTTTCTTGATATCAGTTGAGCACGGAAAAGAACAGTACTAATCCCCAGTAGTAGGAATCATTACTGAAACAACATGATTTTTTAAATTTACTTTACAAATTTTTGAAATGGCAATGAAATTGTTCAGAGTAGTTGACAAGCTCAAGCAGTTGTTACATCCACACACAAAAGCAGCATAAAACAATATGTATTGTTAACGCTGTACAGCTCTGTGACTTTCATAGAGCCACAATTAAGAAAGGAAAATACATAAAATAATAAAAGAAAAAAAGATTTCTACAGAGTAAAACACCCTAAATTATACAAAGTACGTATCGTTCCATGAGGAATACTAATTTAGATACATCAGTAAGAGCTCCTGTTCTAAAACCACAGTTTTAAATTAAGGATATTCAGACTTTTGCACAGATTAACACTCCAGAAGCATAACCGTTTTCCCTTTTTGCTGTTTTTTTAACACTTAGTAGAGTACAAAAGTTATTCTTAACTACAGAATAATTGTAAATTATTAAGTAAAGGCACAGACTAGAAAAATATATGAAGCTCTATATAATGATTTCTTATGATATTTCTCACAGAGGAAGTGTAATGCCAAAGGATTTTCAAGAAAAAGAATGGCTGAAATTATTAAAGGACAATACTGAATACACCTAAGGAAGATCAACAGGAAAGAATCAGCATCCTAAATTTAAGGAGTGCCTAAATTAAATATTTTATCCACTATGTATCTGTCAGTTATGTTAAGGATGGTAAAAGTAAATAAATGGTTAGTGAAATGATTTATCTTTCTTTCCATTAACTATCACCTGGATTTATGCAGCCTGATATTTTATATACTTTATTCACAACCTATTTTGAGGCTGCTTCCTGCCTTTGGAAATGTTGGTAAATCAGATGGAGACAGTAGGTGTCTTGAGTCTTGGAACTGTGAAAAAAACTGGAAAAGAAATAAATAACAAGCAGGGGTCATTGTCTGAGGGGATGGTGGAGAAAAAAAAACAGCATTAAAATATCTTAAACTGAATGCTAACAGGTGACAAGTGACTGGGTATATGTGTGTGTGGTGGGAGAATCAATGCCCAAAATTGAATCCTTGATCTCTCAATTTTTGGTGCTCTCAAGTAATGGTCACCTGCTAATTGCTAGCTGCAACTGATAAAAACCATGTGTAAATTTACAGTAGCATCTGGACTAAGGAGAAGTGTCAAGTGTTAGTTCTTCAGGTAGTAACAACACATAGGACAACCACGACTGCAAGACACATTGTGCTTCTGCATATGGAGCATTAAGACTTGGATAATTGGGGGCTGGTGGGCCTGGCAGGAAATGGGTGTGCAAAGAAACCAAGGGTTCTTGAAAAGAAGTGGTTGATATCCTGGCCTGGCCTTGGCCCATATCCATCCCCACAGCTCTGCACAGCCATTCCATGTGTGATGTGCCCGCGGTTCCCATGGTCAGACCTGATCCTGGCATACTCTCCCATGGAACAACGTGCCAGCCTAGCCCAGGCCCCTGCTCTTGCCAGCTCTGGGATCAACCTCAGCTCCTCACTTACCTCCCCTTAAGGACCAGCCTGTCTCCTGCTGCTCCCTGACAGAGGAAGCAGAAAGAAGGCAACACAGCATGAGCTGACACAATTCCTGCCCAATCTCCCCTGGGCAGCCGAGTCCTTGCTGCCCTGTCTTGCTCCTTCAGGAAATCATGTCAGAAGTGAGATTTTATCCCATGCCTCTCAGTGAGTCTCTCAAGTAAGACCATAAATGCTTGCCCACAGGGAATCCGGATAAAGGACTTTGACTGGGACCGAAGGAGACTGCAGCCCTTGTCCTGCTTGCAAGGGCAGGCACTTTGCACTCACCAAGCCCCAGCTTGCTCAATCCCAGCCCAGGACCACATCCATGATATCCCACATTTCCTTCTAGTTCAGGACTGGTGGGCAGGATGTGGTGTACCTCTAGTAGTAATTAATGAGAAAATAACTGAAAACAACAAATATAAACCATGTCCTTCTTATTGCCTCCTTTATTTTTCCCAGGGACTTGAAAATTAGGAACTGTCACAGCTTTAAATGTAAAGTACCTTGATGCTCGAAATGTTTAGAATGGGATAATCTGCTGACAGGTTTCATTAAACTTCTTCCTGTTCTCAAGCCTTAAGAACATATCTGAGTTTTAGTCTTACAAGATGCACACTGAAAAATTTCTCTGTGCTCCCAATTTTACATGCTGCTGAAAGGCCAGATGTCACTTTACGGTGAGCTCATTCATTTGGAAGCAAAGAGCCAGCTCCTTGGCTCTAATGTGCTCATGTGACCGCCTCCAGAGGTTGTCTGGGTGTGAAAAAGAACTACAGATTGCCCTAGAAATTAATCAAAGAACTTTCTCCTCTGGACAGACATTAATAATTGTCTTTCTTTGCTCATATTAAAAATACTCAAACTACAGCCCAGCATGCATTAAGACACTTTACAGTGCACTGAAAAACCCTCTCTGCGAAGCAAAGCATCTTAGACCATAAAGTTTAAGTGCATTAAAATACATTTAAACATTTAAAAGTCAGGTAAAGTTTTTGATGCTTTGAAATATTCACTAGAACCATTAAATCTTTAATACAGGACCGTAACACATTTGGCTACTTGCACCTAAAGTTTTTCCTCAGGAAAAAGAAATCCATTAAAACTAAATCTAGTCATGTAAAATACTATGCTAAAACATACTTCATGATAGTAAGTATGATGGGATTAATTGTCAAAGATCACTAGAAATCTTCAAAGCCTGGAGCAGTTAGAAATCTCATTCTATTATGATCTCCAAATCTCTTAAACGCCCGACCTTGTGTGGTCCTCCAGATGATCTTTTGGTAGTTCAAGGAACATATAAGAAATAAAACTCCATAATGATTTAAAGATGTGGCCTGTCTTTTTTTGTCCAGATTTCAGCCATGCATCCTGTAATCAATATAGGTCTTATGTACACCATAAGAACGCATGTTTGTACACATATAAAGCATTTTTTTGTCAGCACAAGTAGCTACATTTTCTGCATATTGTCACTGCAGTGAAGAAATAAATAGTAATATGCATAGAAGTGTCAGTACACACTGTCGTTAAAAATAAATAAATAAATAAGACAAAAAATTCCATACCTATAATTTAGAAAATGCAAAGCTACTCTTTACCTTCTAAATTTCATAAGCTAACTGATCAATTAATTACAATGCTGAAAAGCAAGTTTCATTCAACAGGAAAATAGATATTGCCTTGATTCAAATATTGCAGTACCACTATATTCAGTTTTTTCCCCTTTTATTTATGATATTGAATTCCTTCTTTTTGTGTGTATAAATTACACTCGGCAAAATTATTCAGCTGAAACTATTTCATTATTGAATTGAAACATTTATAATAAAGCCAGTATTTCTCCTTTGAAACAGGGATTAAAAAAAAAATAATTCTTAATGCATTTTCAAAATTGTTTCCATTATTTGAAATATATTTTTTCATTTTAAAATTCCATGCAATCATAGTTTTAGACTAATTGCAAATCACAATTAATGTAAAAAAATAAAATATATTTTACTGTTCTAATAACCATACTTTTATTATTTTAGAAATGCTAGAAAACTGAAACAGGTTAGTAACTTACATGGTTAAAATGGGTTTTCTTAATGACAGAGAAATAAAATGTAAGCTAAACTTGAATTTAGAGCATTACCACCCTGAAAACTTCCTTTTATGATATTTTTTAAGTTACCAAAACAGTAGCAGTTAATTTTCATGAATCAAACAATTTGAAACTAAATTTGA